GCGTTTAAAGTATAAATTTTTCACACAAAAAGAAAAGGGGAAAACTAACCGCAACCAGGAATTCACCAACTCGAAGAAGAAAAGTTCATTACCTGCTTCAACAACCCAGATAAATCTTGAGCAATCGCCGGAACCTCATTGTTTGCAACGGCATAGTCAATGCCTCTGCATTTTGCCAAAGCAATTTCACACAAAGGAAGGAAATTCAAGGAATCGAATTAGGGATTGAATAGAATGGGGAAGGGTTTTTACCTCGAAAGGGAAAGGCAGAGATTGAAGAACTCCATGGCCTCGCCGCGATAGCCAGATTTGACGTGAGACTCCAAGCGCTCGGCGACGGCGGCGACTCGGTAAGAGTTAACGAGGGAAGCGGAGATGTGCTGCTGCCCAACGCCTCCAACGTTCAGACTGATTAAGTTGCTCACCGCCTGCGGTGTTAGCGTTGTTCCGCTCATTAGCTCACACAGACACACCGACCACACCCACACCTACAAGCGGCCCTCTCTCTCCAGGCTTTTCAAATGTTATAAAAACTGCAGGAGAAATCAGAAAAAACTAAGGTTGTGGAAAAACTAAGTAAAACAAAAGAAAACTAATGAAAAGGGTTTGAAAACTTTGGGTTTGAATGATAAAGATAAAATAAAAGGTAAAGTGAATAGTACCAGGATTGACTTTTTAGTGTAAAAATGTAGTTTTTCGTTAAAGTGAACAGTACCGGTGCTTTTCGTTAAAGTTCCCTAAAACAAAATCTGCAGGACCCATTACACAGTAAATCTTATAATTTATATTTAAGAAATTTTATTTAAACTCATATAATCTCTTTTTACATCGAACATATTTTCTAAACTCATAACTCTATTAATTAATGATACATATTTGTCAATCAAAAGAGAGTGAAAACACAACTTAATCTTCTATCACACAAAAAAAGTAATGTGTAATAATGTAATTTCATAGATCCAAATTTTATTGTTTTTTATTGAACTCTCGTCTACAAATGATATTAAAATATCTCTAATATTTAAAATTTAAAAAAAAAATACCACACACAAAAAACCTCACACTCCCCCCCCCGCCCCCCACGTTCTCTCTCTTCTCATTTTCTAAAAAAATATGTTCATACACACAAAGTATGTAGATAAATGCTAGTTACTTTTAATCAAACTATTAACACCACTTTCAACCCAATTTACTACTTAAATTACCTTCATAAAACCACTTCAATACATATATTTAACTTTACACCCATTTAAAAAATAAAAACCCAAAATCAATATTCTATAACTCGTTCAAGGCATAAAGAGAGTAAATTATAAGTTATACAAAGCTGGAAATGGTGCAGTTTTCGTCACTCGGATATACAGTCAAGTCAAGTTTAAATAATTGTGTCATCTCAGTGCTAATGTTCCATCCCAGCTCCTGCATTTGTCAAGTTCAAGCTTAATTAATTAGAGCTAGGTGTAAATTATATGTTATACAAAACAGACAACGTGTAGTGTAGAAGCTTTAAAATAGTTTGTTGTGTGTCAATGTTCTAGTCAATTTCTGCATGTTACTTGTCCAGAAGATTAACCGCCTTCACAGAAACAAGTTGAAGGGTTTGGATAATACTAATCTATGTTGTAGTTGTCAGCCAAAAAGCCAAGAAAATTACATCTCTAGTGTAATAGAAAAGGCGTTAATTTTATTTCTAAATCCTAAAAATTTGAAATCAAATGGAAAAAAATTGCATAAATCGATTCATACATCAATTTGAGGATTCAAAACTTCAAAACCATCATTCACTAGTAAATAAGAGCATATTTTATCTATGAGAGTGTCTTAAGAGTTTAGCTAGAATGAACTTAAGATAAATATTGCGTGATCGTAAGGTTGACCCATGAAATCAGAAGCACTCTTGATTGACATACACTAGTCGAGTTAGGTATAACTTTGGCGTTGGAAGAGTATGCCTTGTGGATGCCAACGCGAACTGGTTTAGAGAGAGCAGAATCCAGTAGGATATATACTGTACCCATTCATCTTCCTGTGATGAATCAAGTATTTAGTAGCAACGGTGCAGGAAAAATATCACCAAATTCTCCAGTGGCAAGACCTAGGCAACTTGCAGGAAATTTAAAATACAGTTTCTTTTGGTTGCTCAGATCCACATTTGAAGTAGTACCTATGAGGTCCTACGAAAAAAAAAATTTTGTTTATGGAAAGCTTCATTCTTTTGTCGATGTTTTACGGTCCATCTATTATTATTGTTGAGTCGTTGACACAGGTTGCGGTTGCTCTGTCACATGCTGCAATATTAGAAGAGTCAATGAGGGCAAGGGATCTCCTTATGGAGCAGAATATTGCGCTTGATTTAGGCAGGAGTGAAGCGGAGACTGCAAATCGTGCTCGCAATGAATTCTGCGCGTACAGGTTTGTTTCGTCAAATACTTGTTTGAATCTGTTCATCTTTTGGAAGACCATTCTGTTCATTTGAAGTTATTATAGTATATTACGTTCTCCTTTTCTGGCGTAGGTCAAAGATTCAGGATCTGGAATCAATCCTCAGGATATCCCAAAGCTGTTTACCGAATGTGCACAAACTCAGACTTCAGCTACTCGAAATTCTGGATGCGATGTAACAGCTGTAAGCTTAGTCGATGAGTTATTGCATGTTACTTCACAAGGGCACAAGGTGGTGTTCATGGATGTGAGCATGCCAGGAATAGATGGTTATGAACTTGCTGTCCGTATACATGAAAAGTTCACAAAACGTCATGAGCAGCCGGTATTAGTGGCACTTACCGGATGCATAGACAAGATGACAAAGGAGAACTGCATGAGGGTTGCTATGGATGGTGTTATACTAAAACCATAACTGATTTGTGCAATCGTCACAGAAGAGAAGCAAAGTTAACAATAACTGATTTGTGTAAACTGGTAACGCTAACTTTTCTCTATCTATCGCTCTACCTAGTTTGCAAGTTATGTGTAGTTTCCCTGTTGCTAAATTTGGATCGTATTATATTCAACCGGTTGCCCTTGACCAGATTTCTTATCTGCGAACAAATTAAGCCTCCGATCCTTTCACAACTATATCAATGTAAAACGCTGAAGTTTATGTAACTTGTTGATGTACAAAACCGACCGGAGGGGTCTTGAAACAACGTAAATCCGACCGTGAATCTGCAAGAAAGTTAAGAGCACAAGATGTATCGTGGTTCACCCCAATGTTTGGGTTACATCCACATTGATGTTGATATTGTTTCAATCTGAATGGTGAATATACAAGAAAGCTAGAGGCAGTGTGCTATCTAGCCTATTTTCTCTCTAGCCCATTTTCTATGGCCCAAGCCTTGCCCTCAATCTTGGCCTCTCTCAACGAGGAGAGTGAGGAGTCCTTTTATAGAGGGCTCCTCACTTATTACATATTTGTCCCTTCATTTATTACATAATTACATTTGAGTCATCCGAGTATTTATACGAGATCTAAATATGGAGGCCCTAAATATGGTATAAATAGTAGTCCCCCAAGTCTTCAGTCAAGAGAGTCTTTTGGCTGGAGAGTTGAAATTCAGTCCATGTGTGGGCCAAAGTAACTAGATGTCGTCCATGATTGATACTCGATATGAGGCGATGCTCAATGTGAAATGATGCTCAACTAGAAGTAGCACATGTTGCGAGGCTGCTCGGCTTGTGGCTTCTGTTGCCTTGGTTGGCTCGGCTTGTGGCGTTGAAGGTGAAGGAGTCCCTTTTATAGAATAAGGGCTTGCTTCTCAATACATAAATGATGGGCGCTCTCTAATGAAAGTGAGGGAATCCCTTTTATAGAATAAGGGTTCGCTCCTCAGTACATAAATAATAGGTCCCCCAAGTATTTTTCATGAGGCCTAGTTACGGAAGCCCAATATATGGTACATAGTGTAGTTCCCCAAGTCTTCAGTCAATAGAGTCTGTTAGCTGGAGTCAATAGAGTTTGTTAGCTGGAGACTTCAAATTCAATCCATGTATGGGCCAAAGTGGCGGTTGTTCGGAGACGATCTCTATATACCATGCACTGAAGCTTTGTAAGTGAAGCTTTGAAGTTTGAGCTTTTGTAAATGAAGCTTTTGAAGCTGATTGACATGAATGATGCTCATGAATGTTTATGTTGATTGACATGAGTGATGCTCATGAATGTTTACGTATGATTGACATGAGTGATGCTTATGTATAATTTTTTAGGGTACTGGACATACCTTTGATCACCTAGTTGGTGATAATAACGGCAGGCTGCCGAATAATTTTGGAGTACTGGACCTACTTTTGATTACCTGGTTGGTGATAATAACGGTAGGTTACCGAATAATTTTGGAGTACTGGACGTACTTTTAATCACCTGGTTGGTGATAATAGCAGCAGGCTACCGAATAATGTTGGAGTACTGGACGTACTTTTGATCACCTAGTTGGTGATAATAGTGGCAGGTTACCGAATAATTTTGGAGTACTGGACGTCCTTTTATTTTTTTTTTGCCTTCTTTACACATCAGTATAAATATATAATAATTGCTCCAGTTTGCAGAAGACAACTTAATAAAATATTCATCAATGACAGTGGGTATGGGTGTGCCATGCTTTCCACTTCCTCGGCTTTTCTCCATCTCCAGACATCTTTTCATTTTTCATTATTTTCCTCCCTTTATTCCTTGCTTTTGCCTTCTGCTTTTACTTTGTTTTTCTGCTTTGTTTTGCTTTCTTCTTTTCTCTTTTCTGCTGCATGGTCCACAAGTCCATCCCCAAGGCTCCATTTTTAGTGAAAAAGAATTCCTGTGAATCATAATGGATACCACCTCTGCCATGCCGTGATGACGATATCCTTTGAGCATTGAGTTCCAGCATTTCAAATCAGGGTCCGAGATTTCGGAAAATATAGAATAAGCAGCTTCAAGGGTACCATTTTTTGAATACGTATCTACAAGACTCCCGCAAACTGACATTTCAACATCGTGCCCAGTTTTTACAGCCCATGAGTGAATCATCTCACCTTGTTTTAGCATGGCAAGGTCGGAACAAAGCACTCAACACTCCACTGAGAGCAAAGCTGTCAATCTTATGGTCTTCCTGGCACATTTCATAAAAGAACTTAATTGCATTCTCCCCATCAGTCAATCTCGAAAAACCCATGATCATCTCAGTCCATAGAACAACATCCTTCTTTATGATGGGATAAAACACCTTCTGAGCATCATCCGATTCAGCATTTCGAAAATACATAGACACTAGTGCAGTTCCTACAAAAATGCTCTTCTCAAATCCTGCTTTTGTGACCTGTCCGTGAAGTGACTTGCCATAGTTGGAAACTAGATCTGTGCCTGTTGCGGATTTGATGACTGCAAAAGTATTCTCATCTGGTTTAAGAAACGATGTTTTCTTACTGGACAAATAAATTCAAGGCCTTCTCACCATCACCATGTTCCGAACACCCAGAAATCATTGTGTTCCAAGAGACCAAATCCAGGTTGCACATTCCCTTAAACATGCCAAATGCTACTCGAGTGTCACCAGAATTGCAATACATGTCAAACAAGGAATTCTGCAAAGCTAAATCAGCTAGCGTTTTTGAAACTATGACTCGGGCATGGATGAGTTTCCCCGGATAAAAATATCTTAATCTGTTGCAAGCAGTCAAGACCATTGAATATGTGAATTGAGTAGGAACAATTCCAGTCCTCAACATGCCATCAAAGAGAGAAAGCCCTTCCGCTGTCTCATCAATCTTCAAATTCCCAAAAATCATTGAATTCCAAGCAACAACATCTTTTTCAACCATCCCGCCAAAAACTTTCCTCGCTGATTCCAAATCCCTACAGTTGGAGTACATCCCAAGTAAAGCAGTTTGAAGATAAACATCACTCAAGAACCCAAACTTCAGAACTTGGGCATGAATCAAAGAGCCAATCAACCAATCCTCAAGAGTATAAGACGCCCGCAGTAAGATCGTGAAAGTCGAACCATTTGGCCTAAGACATTCAACTCCCATTTCGTTAAATAGCTCACAAGCCAAAATCGCACTGTTTGAGTCCCAGGAATAGGCCGCAATGAGCGCATTGAATGAAACCAGATTTCGTTGAGGCATTTTGTCAAACATCTTCCGCGAGTCCCCAAGCGATCCACATCGCCAGTACTTGGATATGACATTGTTGTACAGGTGCGGCGGGCGCGAGCCGTCGGTGGTGGTGGTAAGGAGGAGAGCGTGGAGCTGCCGCGCTTGTTTCGGCGAGGTTACGGAGGTGCATTTTTGTATCAGAGCTGCTATCTCATACGACGGTGGCATATAAATTAGTTCAACACTATTACCCGCCAAAAAAAGGAGCGTCTTGGATCTGAAGCACAACAAATTGCAATATATCACAACTGTCCCTGATGTTTCCCAATATATCACCGAACACCACAACGAGCCTTCTAAACGCTGCGTTTCGTGTCCTCTCCAGACTCTCTGACGCGATGTGCAGTGATTCGAAGCTCTCGCGGCTGTGCCGTTTGGACGACGATTTTCTCCGTCCGTACACCGTCAGTTCCGTCCACACTGCCGTATTAGGGTTTCGTTTCATTGGTTTCAGAAGCTCATTTCTCTGTTCCTTTTGCAGGAATCCGGCGTCGTTTTGGTAGCCCAAGAGAGCGAAGTTCTGGTCACTCTCCCTCAGGTTCTTCGACAAGTCAAGCTCTGGACTCTGAAAATGTCAGTTTCTCTATCTCTCTCTTTCTAGAAACTGCAAATTTGACTTCCTCTGATAAAAAGGCTCAAACTTTCCTTGATCAGGTAGTGGCGATAGGATTGGATTGTAAGAGTGATTGTATGTGTCCGACTAAAATCGTAACTCACTTGGTAATTTCCTATATATATACATAGGGAAGTTTGGTACTCCAAAAATCTCATTTTACACTCCTCCTCACAAGTGTATTTTTCTTTCTAGAAAGTTTGGAGTGTAGAACGAGATTTTTGGAGTGCTAATAACAATTCCCTATATATATATATATATATATATATATATATATGTATGTACATGTGCGTGTATATATATTTCATATGAATGAATCATATGTGCTCATTTTTCTGTTTGTAAACTTTGTATACGTTGGAGCTTCAAATTGTGCTGTTTTTCAAATAGATGGTTTTGCTGACAGTGGAGGGTCAATATGTCAAGCATCTGGCATGCAATGTTGTTGTTGCTGTGTCGGAATTCCTTGTTACAACTTCTCTGACTAGGACAAATGTAATTATAGATGGGATTTTACTGGGTTTTGTGTTTCATTTGTTAGTTCTATGTGTTTTTTAGGGGGAGCAACTGGGAAGGCTTTATCCGTTTGTTGTGTGTTTGTATGAATTTGGCTATCACTGTGGCAGTGTCTTGTTCTTCATCATGTTCTGTGGATGGAGCTGATGATCTTCATTCTGGTTCGTCGAGGTTGATTCTTGTGTTAAAGCCTAAGCTGGAAAATGCTGACTGGTCTATCACGGCTGGTGTAGTTTGGGTTTTATGTGATATAAGGAAATATTTGAAGTCAGAAGACGATGATGAACTTGTTGAGGTATTCTTTGATTCTATCAATTCCGTTCTTTCAACTGTGCCTTGGAATTTACTAGATGAGATTCATGTTGGTGCAAAGCCTGATGCTCAGAAAGGGTCCAGAGCAGATGCTTTGTTTCAAAGATCCTTGTTTCTAGGAAATTTGATTCAGTTTCTCCGTTCCATGGTTGAGCAAAGTGGTTCTGCGAAAGCTTCAGGTGGATCTACAGACAAACATCACCCAGTTTTTTCTACATTCATCACCCTTGTTCCGCAGCTTTTATGTTGGTGCCTTGGTGAGCAAGCACATTGCAGTAATTTCAACAAGTGCATCTCTCAATACTTTAGACACAAGTTATTGGTATGTGTTTGCCTGATTCCTTTCTTGAAGATAACTATTGATGTTTAGAAGATTTTAGGGATGTTGGTTGTGTATCTATGCAGAAAACCTAAGCATTACACAAAAGTTTGATGTCACAAAGCATGAAATGGATAACTGTCATGCATCTGCAGTTTGAAAATAGCTTAAGCAGCAGGCTTAGGTTTTCCCGTTTCTAATGTTAAGTTCCTGAAAAATAAAAAGCTTAGTTGAGTTGGATTGAGTAGTACCTAGACTTCTAGATCCTTCAATATTCCCGCCAATACCATCTGTATAAGTCTCAAGTTGTTGTGTACGTATGATGCTGGTGTGGTATAGGCCTTTACTAACGAGATGCTAGTCAATATCTGTTTCTCCTTTTGGAAACAATAATATCTCCTACAACATTTTCCTTTGTATTTATATGAGAATTAACATGTTCTTTTGGTGCATTACTGTTGTAGTTTTATAATGACGTTTATATAAATCTACAGAACATAATATGTTATTTGCATATTTTCCTGGGAACACGCTTCTTGACTTAGTTTATTAGATTATTACTTATGCTTGTGTTAAATCCTGACAATATAATTTGATTGCAAGTACATGGTGCAAACCTACAGATGCTTATGATCAGGCTCATTTTCCAAACCTACCCTCAGCAGTCGGTTCTTGTTTCATGGTTGCAACTTGTCCATGATTACTTTGGAGAGCTTCTGAGGCAACCCATTACTCCTCTAGAATATCAGGATGATTGCCTAGAAGGGTCTCCATTTCTATCCAATGTTTCTGATGCAGAAGTAAACAGTCTGTCTTCCCGCCATCTGCAAAGACAGGCTATTTTCCTCTTTCTGAGGTGTTCTTTTGGTTTGATTAGCTCAAAAGAAGGAACTAACAACAAATGTGCTTGTGTTATTTGGAACTTACGCTTGATGTGTGACTCAAAAACAGAGCTGGATTGTTGTGGAAGAAAGAAAGGTCTATTGGAGCTTTATATTTCTGCTTCAAGGGCATCTTCCAACTGATATGTTAGTGGACCATGAAATGTATTTTGAAAAATGTGTGACTTTGCTAAATCATTCCTCCAACTATACATTAAAGAGGTGTGACCTTTTATTTCTTCAGAAGTTGGTGCATAGTTAATTAAATTGTACTATATGTGCATCGAAGTTCTTAATGTATTTGGCTCGTGTCTATTGCTTCGAAGGATTGCATTATTCGTTGATTTGTAATCAAAATTTTCATTTCTTGGCCCTGTCTTGAACTGTAGGATGATGTATTATTCAAAGTTCTCCTGCAATTGCTCTCTGTCCTTTTTGTGCCGAAGAATGGTAAGGAATAAATATCCTACTTTTTTCATTTTTCTGAAAAGTACTTTCACGGATTCTTTTTAACAATTTTTGTGTTTAATATAGGTTGGAAAAGGAAAAGGGAGCATTTCAGGATTCAGAGGGCAATACGTTTTTTCATGTCTTATATTTTCAATCCTGTGCTCTTATTCCATCTATTTCTGTTAGAGGCAAGATGCTCATTATTTGATATTTATATAGCCACCCATTTCTACCTTGGCATGTTTCTATTTTTTAATTTCAGGTCAGTGGTCTTGGTGGGGAGGGGGGAAAGGAATCCTTGACGATATGACAGTTTGCGTCTTTTCAATTTTGCAGTTGAGGTATGACCATCAGGTGCTCCTTGATTACCTTATTTCGAAAGATACCGGAATCAGCTGTGCAGAATATCTTTTAAGGTCTTTATTCTACTAGTTATATTCTACTTCTCTAAACTTGAGAAAGCTAGGGGCCCATTTGAATCAAACAGTCTGATAACCATTTCATTTTTTGTTTTTAGCTTTCACGTTTTGGTTAGAAATAAAGAGGAAATAAGGAAGAAAGGAGAGATGGATAAGGATAGACGAAGGGTGGTGGGAAGAACGTGGAAAAAATGAATATAGAATGATACACAACATGAAAACCGAACCAAATACTGAGAAGAAATTTAAGTAGGTTTTCTCTTTCTAGTTTTTGGTTTTTATTTTGTTGTTCGATGCGCATTTCTCCGTTCTCCCTTCTACTACACTTTCTCCACATTTTTTATTCATTCATCATTCCATATACTTTGCCTCTAAGTTTAGTGTGAAGAAATGAAAACTACAAACGAAATGGTTATCAAATGGACCTTGAATTGTACTTTGCTACTTTTGCTTGTTTCAAATTCAACCCTTAAGCCTGTTTGCTGTTCTGGTGATTGTTACCTACTTTAAGCCTTATTATGGTTTTATTCTTTGATTTTTTGAATTATTGGTTAATCATGAATTGAAATGGTGAACTACGATATGAGGCAAGAACCCTCTACTCCTGAATGACCTCTCTTAACTGATTAGCAGCAAAGGAGAAAGAAAACGAATGTAGTTGACCCTAGAGATTCGCATTTGCTTCATAATTGTATTTTTAAATTTCTTCTCACTGTGCTTAATGCATTCTTTCATAGGTGCTTGCGTAAAGTGTTCAATTCATGAAGCTTATTTGTGGAGTTTTCAGTGGGTCGACATGCTACAAATCGATCATCTAAGAGAAGAAAAGTTGCATCGGATGTCTGGAGTTGCAAGAGCACTCAAAGTGGAGGAAAGTATTTTAAAGAAGCCAAAGGGTGCCTACTTTCATTGAAAAATTCGATTGAAAATCTACACCGAAAGGATCTCTTTCCTTACAATCCTAATGTTCTTCTGAACCGGTGTGTCTTTGAACTAAGTTCCATTATGCTTAGCAGTAAATTATTGAGTACTTTTACTATACAGGGTTTAATTTTACTTTCTAAACTTATGACATGTATTTTGGCCGTTTCTGCACTGAACTTCTGGCTCTTCGACTGCAGCTTAACGCGATTTCAGGAACTCTGTTTTGAGGAAAAGAAGTAAACTTCTAACTTCTAAAGGACTGAGTGGTTCGAGCTCTTCACGATTCTTTCCAGCATATATAAAGATGTTTTTCGAAGAAGTGAATGAGTAGAAGAAAAAACCTTGTAATTGAGGTAATTTAGATTTGTTGTACATAGATGCTCATTTCTCAAAATTTCCCCTAACAGGGAGAGAAGCAAAGAAGTTTAATTTGTAGAAACAATTATACACGAAATCCGAGTGACTTGTGCGCTCTGTGTTAGGGGTGGTTTCAAAAAACTGAAAACCGAAAAAAGGGGACCGAACACCGAATCGAAACTGAAAAACCGAAAACCGAAAGAAAACCGAACCAAAGAAAAAATCGAACCGAGCCTTATTGGTTCAGTTTTGGTTTTGAAGGTTTGGAAACCGAACCAAACCGAACCGAATCCCTTTACACTTTATGAATGTATGCCCGTTATTTTGAAACTTTATTGCCAAGTTTGAAACTAAGCCTAGGGCTTTTTCCAGAAGCATACTTGGTTCAATTAAGGAGGATACTTCATTAGTTATAAAGGAAAGTTTTGGAAGGCTTTGGAACTTGGAAGAGCTTATCTATCTATTTACTTTTTGAATGGATATGATGATCATTTTTCTTTGCAATTGAGGTTGTTGATAGCATAGGATTAGTTTATATGATCTTGTATATGTACAACTACCTTCCCACTTTCCCACTTTCCCACTTTCCCTTTTTTTTATTATTAGTCTAACAATGCAAGCCTCTTTTCTAAATTCTATATTAAAAAATGATCAAGTTTTAGAAAAGGGAAATTTTATTCAAACTCATTTATTCTCTTTCTACACCTAACGTATCATTTTTTATTTTGAAATTCTAAATGTGTGCAACAATTCTCTTTCAACATCCAAAAAATAAAAATAAAAAAATTCTAGCACTAGAAAACTCTACCCACCCTACTAAGGGTGGGCATGGGCTGGGCTAGCCCAAATTTTGAAGGGACCGGACCGGACTTGTTTTACAATGCAACGGGCCAGGATAGGGCAGGTATAAGGATTTTGAGATGTAGAACAGGACCTAACCCGACCTGTTTAAAACGGGCTGGGTCTACTGGTCCAATCCCAAGCTTGACGAAGTAACGATTTCGGACGGATGGGCATTGCCGCTGAGTTACAGATCCACCGCAAAAGTAGAGCCGTTGAACTTGTGGTCAATGGAGAGTTGAATATCGGGGTGCGATATGAACAAAACTGTAAAATAATAAGAATATTATTAAACAAACTGAGAATGCTGAAATAGCTACAAAACCCTAAGAGACTACATTATGACTAACTTATATTCTACGAGCTACAAAACACCATATATATAGAGAACTAACATAACCCTAATAAGTAAGAGAGCGAAACCCTAATACTAACGGGCTAAGCCCAAATTCAAACAATAAAATAATCCTAAATTCCAACACCCCCGTCAAACTCATGGCGATACACGACAAGAGTTTGCAACAAGAAGATGCGGATGCAAGCTCTGTTAGGCGGACACGACAAGACAAGCTCCATTAGGCGGACACGATAAGGCAAGCTCCATTAGGCGGATACGACAAGGCAAGCGGGCGAGCAATTAAGCGAGCAAACGAACAATTCAGGCTTCAATCAACAAAGGCCTAACCAAAGGCCTTCAAACAAATCATAATAGCCCAACAGATTGTGAGCTTCATACCCTTTTTTTTTGTGCGAACAAGTGCAAATAGCGACGACGCGACTTTTGGTTGCAGACGGCAGGTGGTGGTGACAGCGTTCGAAGGCGATGGCATTTTGGTGTAGCTTTGGTGGTTCTAGTAGGTTACATCAGGGAAATCATGGATGCAAAGCAAAAGTGGCAGGTTAGGTACAAGTGCGGGTTGATTAAGCTGCATGGCAGTGATGCGGGGATGGGAGTTGTTGCAGCGGCAATCAGAAACTGGTATGGGTATGGTTGCGGATCTAGGATCTAGTAGTGGTTCAGAACAAACCAGAGAGGAATCTACGAGGAACCGAGACATACAAACGAAGACCAACAAACTAACATGAACAGAGCAGAAGCAGATTAAACCCAAAAGATCAAACCTGCTGATACCAAGTTAAATATTAGGGTGCGATACGAACAAAACTATAAAATAATAAGAATATTATTAAACAAACTGAGAATGTCGAAACGGTTACAAAACCCTAAGAGACTACATTGTGACTAACTTATTATTCTACGAGCTACAAAGCACCATATATATAGGGAACTAACATAACCCTAATAAGCAAGAAAGCGAAACCTTAATATAAACGGGCTAAGCCCAAATTCAAACAATAAAATAATCCTAAATTCCAACATGGAGAGCACAAAGTTTGCCGACACGTTGAAAAACAACGTGGAGAGAATCACAGTAACAAACCAGAACGATAGCTGTTGAATTTTGTGAAGATCCATTTGAATTTAAGGAAAGAAGGAATATTTGGGTCGGGAAAGGAGCTGGTTTTGTGGGAGAAAAATCCAGTTTCGAAGATGATTCCTGGATTGGATTCTGGGAATTTGTGGGTTTTGTGGGATTTTTGGGAAATGGTTTTGGTTTCTTGGCAGGAAGAAGAAAAGTTTCATAACTGCATTTGCTTTGATGATGGACACGCGACTTGGCAGAAAGAAGAAAAATTTTCATTGAGTTTGGTGATGGAATGCATTTCCTTGGCAGAATGTCTTGCCACGCGTGTTCTAAATTAAATCCAATCATATCCAACAGTTGAACAGTTTAATCCGAGGCCACATTTCTTATAACTTTTAGGCCCGCCCCGCCCCGCCCTGTTTCTTATACATAATATTAAGACCCATTTTGTACCCATCCCGAACCGCAGGTCCAAGACCCATTTGCCCACCCCTACACCCTACCTCTCCCTACCCAATCACCCCTAGTTTCTACTTTTCCCCTACCTCATTGCCACCTCATCTATCACCCACAATGAAAACCCCAAAGATCTCAGCCATCACTCACTCTAACTTATTGTTCAAGAACTGGATAGTTAGACAAATTGTACTCAAGAATTTCATCACTCACTTAATTTGTCGCAAGTGAAGAACGTTGAGGGACTTGAAAATAGAAGTGTGTCCACAACAGTGTAGACTTGGATTGTCAAAACTCATTAAGTTCTCCCATGCAAAATGCAAGAACCACTTCAACGTACCCTTATTTGCTTGACATTGATACCTAATACCTTGCGGGCAAATGCATAATCTTTTGGAAGCAAACTGTCAACAAAAAACTCCACCTCAAGTATTTGAACTCTCTTTTCTAATGCAAACTAAATCCAGCTATCAATGCAAACTATTTTTGGTTTTTATTAGGATTAATTGATTAATCCTTTTTCTTATCAAATCGTGTTCAATGATCGATGGCTATAATTTAAAGTTTTGAACTTAAAAATTTTCAACTTCCAATCCTACTTCTACTGCAACGTTAGATTCCATTGGTTGGCTGCTTCACATAATTCAGACTGTTAAAAGGATTGCGTGGAAGATTGGGAAAGGGGTAGTGATGGTTGACATCTTTGGGGGTTTCATTGTGGGTGGTAAGGAAGGTGGCGGTGTGGGGTTGGGAGGGTAAAAATTGAGGGTGGTCGGGATTTGGAGAGATGGGTGGCTGGAGTTTTCTAGTGTTGGAATTTTATTTTTTATTTTTTGTTCTTTTTCAATTTGGGTGTACAGGGAGAATTGTTGGGCACATTTGGAATTTTAAGAAAAATAATGATAAGTTGGATGTAAAAAGAGGATAAATGGGTCTAAATAAAATTTTCCTTTATATTTTTGCTGACCATGTGATTCCTTTATTAGTATAGCGAGTAAATTGTAGCAATGGTTCCTTAACTTTAAGTCAATTGGAATAATGGTCCCTCAACTGAAAATGCATTACCATTGATCCCTAAACTCATCAAAATGTGTAGCTATAGTCCCTTAACTAAAAATTCATTACCATTGGTCCCTTAACTTTAATCCAGCTGGAGAAATGGTCCCTCAACTTTAACCCAGTTAGAGCAATGGTTCATCAACCTTAACTCAATTGTAGCAATAGTCCATCAACGTTAATCCAACTGACAAAATTCTGACGAAGTTGACGAAAATGACCATAGTTACAACAGTGGCAGATCTAGGATTTCAACTTAGGGTGGTCCCAATATAAATGACAAAGACAAAGACAAAGACAAAGACAAAGAGATGCATGCCACAAATAGACTGACAAATAAAAAACTATCTTCCTATGAGAGGCAAAAGCAGCACCTGTTCTACACGAGTTTTTTACCGTGGCTAGAAAAATAAGAAACTATCTTTTGAGTCACCAATCACCCCCACACCTCTGCAACTAAAACTCAATTCTAATGAAGTTTCAATCTTACTGTTAACATTTCTAGCTAAGCACCTTGGTTGTATAACTTGTATTCAAGGTTAAGACTTGTTCGATGCTTCAAAACATACGCCAAAATCACAGTTTTATGCAGTAATGTCAATTACTTGCTAGTAATCACACTGTTGAAACTTAATTGTCTGCGGTATGAACTAAATTGAAGAAAAACTGACACATGTTTGGGTTACATGATGCAAAAGAACAAATGCAATATATCCTGTATACAGCTACATCATGCTTTAATAGAGATGCAAACAGACTCAACTCAATATTAACAAACAAACTCTTTACACTTGGACTTTGATCCAACACAGTTGATTTCCCAACCTATCTTCCTCTAAATTCGCTAATTCCAAGAATGCAAACAGACTCAACTCAATCGAAAAAACACTTGTAAAGCATCCAGTTTCATGGAAAATGTAACTCTATTCACTCCAAGAATGAAAATTCTACAAGCACGAATAAGTGAACACAGCTAACACAGAATCAAGACTCAATTTTCACAATTTACAACATCAAAGTTTAAACCTTTTCACAAAAATCATTCGAATTGCCCTCTCAAATTCTCAATCACACAAAATATCATCTACAACTACGTACGAAAAAAGCAACAGATTATTTAATGGACAGAGTCAAAGAGAGTAAAAACCTCTTCGACCAAGAAGAAGATGAGCAACCTCCAGAGTCCAAACCAAAGCTTTACACGGAGAAAAAATGCAGAGCATCAGAAGGGTTACAGATTGATGCCGTGCAGAGTCTGAACCAGCCTCATATGTAGTCGCCCGTTGGTGCAAGTTGCAGAGAGTGTAGAGAGTTGATCGATGCCGTAAGGAACAAAAGCGAGGTG